GGGGGGGGGGGGGGGGAGTTAACTGGACCATGGCATGAATCTAGTCGCCATTAAGCTGTACGACCTTATTATTGTATAATAAGACCAATTACTTAATCTTTTTATCTAGTATGTACATGTACATATCTATACGCGAGAGAAGAAAAGAAAAGAAAGAAAGAAAAAGAAAAACTTACGTGTAAGAGCGTATTATTACTCACGTGCAATGCATGATCTACACACACACACACACACACACACACACGCGTGCGCGCGCGTACTCCTCTAATCCCTGTTGACGAATGTCGATTCCACCACGTGGCGGCATTATGCTGTCGCAAACAAAATACCGCCCGTTATTCCCGTTGAATTGGCTCGTAATCGCAAAATGCCATTAATTTCTCGCGTTCCAATGAACTTCCTGTAGTGCGTTATTTCGTTACGGTCCGACAGCCGTGGCTCCAATAACGCCACGATACTACTTGGCATTAAGTTTCTCCCGTTCGCATAGAAAAATCGTTACTTTGCCATTTAACGCGTCTATATCGGTTAGGAGAGACGCTCCGCTATGCGCACCGCGAAGAGTAAACACGAGCTATAATACTTGGGCGCTACTTAAATAGTTCTTGGTTGTTATCGAGACATAGGCTCCGTATTAATAGTCGTCACTCGGAACTTCGTGAGAGACGCTCGCTCTTAAGTTTCGAGCTTGGAGCGCGAGTTTCTCTCGGTTGAATCGCGATTACGAGTACAACGGCATGCGTGCCGTACGATTCAACCTGAAGAACCTGAAGATCAGACTCCGAGGTTATTAATAGTCGTTACTGGAAATCTGTCTCAAGCGAGGGTGCACAGTCGGCAGATCGAAGGTCGCAGCATCTTCGACGAGGTTCGCAATGAATTTTTTATCCAATAGAAGAATTCGTTTCATTAAGTAATTGGCAGAGTGATTCTCGGGAGGTGAACTTTCTTCAGAAACTCCGAAACTCTCAACTCTAAATTCACACCTGAAATTTCACGCGGGACGAGAGCTTCAGGTAACGACTATTAACACATTAACGGCGGGCGATATTTTGTGTGATCATAAAAACTTTAAGGTACAGTCGAGCTAAATTGTTTTACTACGACTCCCGCCTTTAAGCCGCAGTCGAGCTAAATCGTAGTACTACGACTCCCGCCCTTAATGTGTTAATAGAAGCCTAAGCCTCATTTTAGATATCTTACGTGAAACAACTTTCAAATATCGACTGTTAACATGGGTCCTCGAGACTTGCGTTAATTCAGTTTCAGTTCTAAACGCGCAAGAAGTTCCATCATGCAAGCTCCGTGTGTCGAGTAATTTGCGTTCGTCCGAGAGCTCGGATTTTTTCCAAATGAATTTCCCTTCGCCGTGCTCCGTCTCAAGATTATTTTCCACCTGTACTTCGCAGTCCCACGTTTTTAACGTCAATCAAGCTGGAGTGAGTAACTCGCGATTAACTGACGCGGCATTTTGTGTGCAACAACCCGCCGCAGCGGAAATGAAATCCATCGCCGTTTCGCGTGATTCCCGCGCGCGCGACACAAGCGAAACAGGTGCCGTAGTGACATATGTGTCTGAAACTATAGTCTCGCGCGCAGAGATATATCCTTTTCGAGTCTCTTTAAGGAGAGTGTCTATAGAAAATTGTCTATTTTCTGCGATCTCTATGCCTGTGTGTACATCTTTCACCGAATTATATATACATTACAGTTAGCGCGGTGGAATCAAAAGCCGCGTAGAACTCAGTCCGGATCTGCAGTGGGTGCGGCGAGCCTTTAGGCTAATGCTCGAAAATATAACGAGATTTACGACCAAAGACGTTTCCCGCCGAGAGTCGCAATAACGTTCGGATCTTAGGAACTGCGATGTCTGGCAGCGCTGGAGACGCTCTTTTGCCGGAAATGTTGCTACAACTTAACGCTTTTAGCAAAAGACTGAAAGCTTACCACACCTATTGCGGTCTTAATAATCGCCCACGTGAACGGGAACAACGCATCGATGACATGCGATGATTCTGCCCCTCCCCCCTCCTCCTCCTCGAACATTTCTTCAACCTTCGACGATTTTATACGTGTACAAGGGAGAGAATTTCAGATTTCGGGTCACGGTAGCGAAGTTACGCGAGGCTTTCCACCCTCTTTCATTCGACGTCAACGTGTCCGAAAGGTGTCTTCGGATTTTTACGAGTCAAGTGAGAGGAACGGAGAAGAAAAGAGGGGAAAACAGATCCCGAAGTCTATCTTCCGGAACATTCTTCGTTATCGTTATCCTTGTTGTCGAGCGTCAGAGCGCGAGGATCTTCTCGTCGAGAGAGCACGCGACAGTGCGCGACAGGATTTTCCCTTCAGTTCACCGCGATTTTTCTCCCGTTAAGAATGTCCCTCTCAACGAGAAACTCAAGATTGTTACCAAGTGCCTTTGCATATTTTTGTAATTTAAGCTAACTCGGTGTAGAAGTACCCTCTATGAGTATCGCACACTGTAATAACCTATTATTATACATATATTATATTACCGATACATTTGTATTCGTTGTTGATTTCTGACTTGTTGACCCGCGAGATCGCCGCGTCGTCGTACCACATACACACACACACACACATACACACATACACAGTTGCGGTGGCGTAACTTATGAGCCGAAAATATGGCGCGAAATCGCATGAAAACTCCCGCTTTCAAAGATTTGTTAGAAAGAGAGAAAGAGTGAGAGAGAGAGAGAGAGAGAGAGACAAGTAACGTGAGAAGTGTTGTAAGTATACACCTCTTCCGCTTGAGATTCGATCCCCGAAAATTTTTCACAACTGTGAAAACTCGTCTATAATGCGGTCACAGAGTCGTTTAATCGCAGTCGCTCGAATCCACTTTCAATTCTTACAACAGATTGTTCGTAGTCGTAGCTGGAATCGGAAGTGGATCGACTATCGACATATACACGGAAAAAAAGAATTAGCTCCCACAGCTAAAAATTAGCTTCCACGGGTAAAAATTAGCTGTCCGTATAATACAACTGAAATTTAATTAATTTAGCTAATTCTTTTCGTCCCTGTACCTAATATTTAGTTCTCACAGCTAAAAACTAGATCTAGTATCTAAATTTCAGTTGTATTATATGGACAGCTAATTCCCTTTTTCCGTGGAGTACTGAACGGAACATGCGGCAAGATTTCTTGGATTTTTCGTGTTGACGGGCCTAGAAAGAGAGAAGTAAATGTTAGAGCATGGATCTCTCTTTCTATTATCTTTCCATTGGTTGAAATTTGTCTAACGTGCGAAAAGGAGGACCGTATTTTTACAAATTGGGAACATCCTTAAGGAGGTTGTAAGGCTCGGTGTCTTTTTAATGGATCAACAAGGAGACCAGTTATAAATATAGTATTTATCAAGCAAAATTACGTTTCCATATATTAATTTTATGACCTGATTAATAAATGTTAATTTATTTATTCAATAGTTTGAATCGAAGCTCAGGTAAACATATGTACAAAATATCACATCATTTATACATTGATGTAATAAAGACACACAAATAAATAGAAAGAGGCACATACGCGTTTAAATACATGCATATGCATGTACACTTCGAATATTATTATAAATTATATTAATTAATTAATAATTAACTTGACACCGTTGCATTTTCAAAACATAATGATCCATAATTTTGAAATTTATGTATGTATGAAATTTATGTATAATATCTGTATAATATTATGTATAATATTCTTTAACAGTGTCGACTTTAGTTGCAAATATCTCAGCTCTCGAACGGTTAATCTGTTTCTAATTGCACGAACATTGGAATAATATTTCAACACATGCATAACGCAAATTTCCTCGAATTCTTATCAAACTAATTTCCCCTTACAACCTCCTTAATGTGCCGCAATTTATAAATGTGCAATGTTGTATGTAAATATCGCGTAAAACTGAAATTATTATATACGTAATAAATAATTACTAAAATAGTGTCTACTTTATTTACGCAATGTTTATCATGTAAAAGAAACAAATTTTTAAGTACGTCATGAGTCCCCGGTTTACATAAGTCACTATTACTCACGCATCTTTTCTCTTTCAATGTCACACAGTTTCGATTTCATGCCCCGTCCAGTGTCGACGGGATCAATTCGAACGACTACGACCGCACGATCGTGCGACCGCATTGTGAACGAGCCTTAACCCCTTGACATACAAATTAAATGGAACTTAATGCGACCAAAAAATACTATTTAATTTCGCTCAACTGAACAGTTACGTTAAAGCTGAGAAAGAGTACATTTTAGCATTTTAGCAACTATGTAATCTAATTGTAAACTGCACGGCGTCCGCCGAAAAAAGCGCTTGACGAGTCAGACTCGTCAAAGTCTACAGTGGCCCATGAAATGAATGACGAGTCAGACTCGTCATTGTATGTCAAGGGGTTAAGAGTTACGCCGCCGACGAACCTCCGACCGTTCGTCCGTGTCATTAATAGCGTCTCCCAAGAACAAGCTGTGGATGTAACTTAGTGTTAAAATGTCATTGTGTCTGCTCGCTGTAATACGTGACGTGACAATACTGCCAGTCCTTTGGTTAATAAAATGCTGAGAAAAACGCCTGCCGTTGCAATCACCGACGTTATCGACGGTATATAAACTTTGGACGGGAGGTTCGCCGGTCTCAGGGTTCCGTTTCCTTCGTTTCCTGCCTTCGTGCAAGAAGAAAAAGCGGAGAACAGGGAGGAACGTCTTCCGACGGGAGGAGACCGAATCGCACCCAACGTCGACAACCCGTCGGTACGCGGATTTACGAGCTTGACGAGGGTTGCCGATTTACGCGTCTCCGCGGTTTGATTGATGAGAAGCGCGAATATTCCTATCTGACTCGTTTCTCTAAATAGGACGCGGCTTCGATCATCTCTCCCGAAGGGATCGGGAAGATACAGCGATGTTGTTCCGCGAATTTTCTCGGCGCGCCGAGGAGAAAAGAAACGAAATCCCATCCGTCCATCTTCGGAATTCCAGCTTTAATCACCGAGATTCTCACCGTCGAACATCGAGATTCGGCATCCACGTGCGTCCCTGAAGTTTCCCTGAGGAAAGATCGACTCGGATCGATGGGACCCGTCGAGGGATCTCTCGCGCGACACCCCCAACGTTGACGGTGTCCGTACGCTTTGTTTGCGCGGGCTGTGTGTACACAAGGTAAAAAAAAAATCACTCGTGTGCAGATTCGCCGTGGTCGCTTCCGCATTAATCATCGACACCGGTCGGAACGTCGCTGCCACGGCCGCGGATAGAATTAGAAATTAACACGCGTCACGGCTCATCGATCGCACGTGCCGAGCGAGCGTAATTTTTCTCGAGGGACCCCGAGCTGTTTTTTTCTACCTCGCCTCGCCCTCTCCGCCATCTCTTCCAAGCCGATATTTATCGTAAATCTATCATCGTCCATCCATCCATTCAGCCATCTATCTATCTATCTTTCGTTCGGTTAATAAATATCCTCGTCCGGCGCATGCGCTTTGCGAATCGATTATTTCACCGGCTGCCAGATATCGCCGGCCTCTCTCTTCGACCGTGTAGCAGTTTGCCACGCAACCGAGCAAAACGAGTCGCACCGGTCCTGCTAACCCCGAAGAGTGCGTGGCAACCACACGTGAATTTCGCCGAGCCTGCGGCACCGCTCGGAGCGAAAGATGCGTCCGGAAGATGTACTCAACCGATCGTTCGAGTCTTCCTAGTCGAGAGTGCGTAGCGCGAGGAAACGCCGTGCCGCGTCTATGTGAGAAGAAGAAGAAGCGAAACTGGCCTCTCTAACGCTGCTCGCGTTGTTGGTACTTTTATATACAAGGTGGTTATGTATATATGTATGTATATGTATACACAAGATGAGGCAATAACTATTATCGCCTTGAGTATCTTCACAAAGCAAAAATATTTGATTAACGATCAGTTACGTATGAATTTTATAGGGCAACAAAATTAACAAAATTAGTTACATCAATGTTGGTAATTTTACTGCATTATAAGATGCTGAAGATTTTACCGGCCTCTTGTTTTATTATCTTCTTTCATCTTTATCCGGTTGTTAATGAGATATTTTTATTTTTTATATATTATCTCATTTGTTTTGCCTGCGAGATATTTGGACCTTCCTTTATAACTTTTCTTACTTGGTTGAAAATGAAAGAAAGTTTACATTTACAGGAGGATATTCAATTTGCTAATTGTTGCGCGCACGCGCGCGCGCGGTGATACAGCCTCGAAGGAAAATATCCTCTGAAGTAGCAGCCGATTTCCCGGCGTTAATTGCTATCGCAATCAGCGTCGCGATGCACGCCGCTTTGACCATCGATACGCTCAGCTAACAAAGCACTTCGCTACCGTTAATTATGGATAACGTTCTTGCGGCTGTACTCCGAATACACCGCACTGCCTCCGATAATTCCCACACACCGAGATTGTTAGCGCGATACCGCCGAATATCGCTCCCTCGAATATTTCCTGCGAAATGTATGCAAAATCGCGCAAGCGAAAAAATATTCTAGATACTTTTCGGAAGCCTCTTTCCGATGTCGCGGCAAGGAGCGTCGTTGCGATCCGTTCATGTCGACTAAACCGACTACTTGCAAGGAAGCTATTCGACGATGGGAGGAGGAGCACGAGCAGGAAGCGTCTAAGGCGACGGAGGTGATCCTGAGCTTCCAGTGGCCGCCGATCGAGAAGATGGACAACGCACTGGCAGTGTTGACGAGTTGCGAGAAACTCTCCCTGTCGACAAACATGATCGAGAAAATCGCAGGTGAGAATTCGCGATTCTCCTCGTCGAAGAGCGTGCGCGCCTGGCTTTCGACGAATGTGTGTTGCACGCCGTTGTCGATCGCAACAGAGGCGGGAAAACAACTCGTTTGTGATTCAACGCGCTTGAATTTGTTTCACACTAATTGAAAAGATCCATCGTTCCCGTGGAATAATTAATCGTTAATGTAATCTGAATTTATCATTGGGATTTTGTTACAAATCGGTCTCCCGTTAGATTTTACGTGAATGCATGCGCGCATTTCCCGCGGTAGATACCGCTGGTATAATTTTATTTTCCCGTCGTTAAACAACGCGAATTACGTTAATTGCAATTTTTCGCGCTAACGAACTTTCGCGCTCGATCGAGGCTCAATCAGGCAAATGTCCGGAAACTACTCGTATTCTTAGTCGACTCGTGTCTCCTCTCTCTTATTATGTGCTTATATCGATTAATTAGTGGCCACTTTCGAATCGACCGGCTTATGTAAATTGCGCTGTTTTAGATCAGGCAGCGCATTGGAACCGATGCATATTCGGTTTCATGTCAACTGCCGGATGCATAATGCATATCCAGGCGGCCAGGTTGTCTCAGTGATGCAATCGCGCAATGCGAATATGATTATAAATTTCACGTCGTTATGAACGTATCGTGCGAGGATGCGCGCGCGCACACGTTAATGCCTTCAATTATTGTTGTCGATTTAGCTCGCGATTATAATTAATCGCATCGATCTCCGTGACTATCAGTTTAATTTCAAATGGCGACTATTGCACTTTATCACTCGGTAAATTCCATCTCGGTACTGATATATTATATTAAGGATATATTGCCTGTTAATGCCGTATTTTCAACCGGTGCGTCAAAGGAGCCACTCGTAAATTTAGTATTTGTTATCAAACAAAACCACATATATGTACATATATGTATGTATACAAAATTTATACACATATATATTACTAACAATATTTCTAACATATATGTAAAATAAAATTGATATTTATTGCATAAAAATGATATTATTATACAACGATATTAATTGTATAAAAATATAATAATGTAATGAGGAGAGAGATGATATTATTAGTACTATTTTGTAGGCTCAAATCAATCTTCGGCCTAAGGATGTACGTCTTCTCTCGTAGGTGTCGGGTCTTTGAAAAATCTGAGGATCCTGTCGCTAGGTCGTAATTTAATCAAAGGTTTCGCCGGCCTCGAGGCTCTGGCCGACACTCTCGAGGAGCTCTGGCTCTCCTACAATTGCATCGAGAAGATGAAGGGCGTCCAGGCGATGAGGAATCTCCGTGTGCTTTACATGTCGAACAATCTGGTGCGAGAATGGAACGAATTGATGCGGCTGCAGGAGCTGCCGAATATTAGGGATCTGCTGTTCGTCGGTAATCCGCTCTACGAGAGCCACGAGGTATTCGTGATTCGTGATCGGTCTTCGGTAAATATTCGGCGAAACTTCGACCGGTGTTTACACGATGGAACTTGCAGGTGGAGCAATGGAGGAGTGAGGTCGCGCGGCGTTTGCCGACTTTGGAGAAGCTCGATGGAGAGCCCATCATACGAACGGAGGAGAATCCAGCCGCGATGCAGACCTCCAAGATCGACGATTCGCTCGATCAAGAACACGGCTAGCTGACAACGCGTATTATCATTAGATATCTCGTATTCTAATGGCGTACTGCCATCTCTCGGCACTACGACTTATATACGTCAAGCTTCCTTTGTATCCTCGTAGTAGGAAATGCGGCGATTTTAAGTTTTCTCGGTTGAAAAAATGCGCTGAAAATTATTTCTGTAAAAAATTGAGAGGACGATCTCTTTAACCGATCTTTTCAATTGCTTGATTCAATAAACACCTCTGGATCGGGTCGACTTCATTGGATACCTGAAATCGACAGAAATACCTCAAACTTTCGCATCTATTGCTCATTGAGCTATGAAAATATTATAATCCAGAAGAACGAAAAATATTCGCATTCCACACATAATCTGACGTATTAAACATTGCTGAAATTATTTAGTTTGAACGTAACGGCACAATTTTGGTGTTTCACGATGCCGTGACAAATTAATAGTGAACTTGATTTCACACGGAGAAAAAAAGAGAAACAAGCATTATGTTGGAAATCTACGACACCAGCCTGATTTGTGCGACGAGACGCTGGCGATCGTTCGGAGGGTAATCACAGATCCGTTCGATCGTACATTTATATTAATTTATTCGTCTCACGATACAAGATAGATCGTACATACGTTTTGATGGTTGAAAAAGATTGAAAAAGCAAATACAGTAGAGTTCGATTGGATTCGATGCACGAAATATGTCGAGGATCGGACAGACGAATCTTCGAGGGTCGCTCCATCGTAATCGCTCGCTTCGTTTTCTTGCCTGTCTGCCTGCTTGCTTGCTCGCTTCCTTCCTCCCGTCGTACAAGGCGTGCGAAATATAAAGGTGTGTTTCACGCGGGGCGCGCTCGTTTAAGTATAATTGCCGCATTTATATATTTTTTCCCCTCTCACGTAATTACGCAACGAAGTGCTCGCTCGCGCGTGTGTGATACGTGCATTAGAAAAATTGACATGTGTATGCTCGACCGCGCCCGTTTGCCGGTTCCGCCTTTCTTTTTTTCTCTCTCTTTGATTTGCCTACGTTGCCAATTTTGCTCCACATCGATCATAATTAATCAACACAGTTAATTGTATATAATTAATCCGCGACACACACACACACACAGATCCCCTGTGTCAGTGAGCGTGATGCGTCATCATTCTCAATTAATCTTGTAAATTATTCTACGAACGAACGAACGAACGAGCGAACAAACGGAAGAATCTCGTTAAATTTGTCCAGAACCGGGTCGAAATAGTGGGAACGTTACTTTTTCCCTCTCGCGTGTCAAATGCGTGATCGAAACTCGGCCCCGAGACCGGAGCCGATTGAAAGAATTGCACTTTGCGCCAAATTCGCTCCTCAGCAGCGTTCGATTCTTCGACCAATCGTTACTTCGTCCGGATGGTGTCGCATACTTCGACGCCAGTCGCGAAGAATTCGTCAGCGTCGCGCCGAAAAGTCGGAAAGTCTACACAGAACATCGCACACTGCGAGTAGTACGAGCAAAACGAAACTAATAGAAAAGTCGTGCTCCGAGGACGATGTACAGAGGTACGCTCTCGTCGAGAGGGAGAGAGAGAGAAAGAGAGAGAGAGAGAGAGAGTGAGAATGAGAGTGAGAGCGCGGAAAGTATGAAACACCTGCCTGCGACTTCGCGAAGACCGGACCAGTCCGGCTTTCTCGAGACCCGTTATTCCGTATCTTGTTTCGATGCTTTCGAAGAGATCACAGAGTAGAGAGCATCCGGGTGAGGAATCCGCGGCGCGAGAGGAAGCGTCCCGGCGTTGGAGTCGATCCGCATGAGAGTACGTACAAGCGAGAAGAGTCGCGCACGCGTGTCGACAATTCTTTAGCTTTCCGAGCTTCGGTAGCGGTAGTAGCTTGGGCGGTGTGGAGAGAGATAGAAAGAGACTCTTTAGCCGATGACGAGTAAGAAAAATATCGTATATCCGCTCTCTCGGCTCGAATCCACGCCGTCGAAGCGACGCCGGAGCGGCACGGCGGCATTCGCTCTCTCCGGGGAGGAAAAGCGTTTACTCATCGAGGAATATAGATAGACAGCTTTATCGAGGTATAATGGGTCTTCACGTGCGCGCGCGCGCGCGTGTGTGCGTGTATGTGTGAAAATACGCGATAAAGGAGTAATCTCGGGGGAATTTATATTGACACGAGAGGAAACGATATATCAAAGCTCCTGATTTTTTTTAACGCACCTCAGGGGCGATGTATCCTAATTGTACCGTCCAACGACTCGATCGGCGAGCGACACCAGTGTTCATCAACTCGTCGTCAGAACGACGATTTTCACTTATTCGTTGTGCGTTGCGTTTGCGTCCGAGGGAAAGAGGACTTCAAACGCTATGCGATTCTCGTGAAAAACTAATTTCGCTCGAGCTGATTCAACAACAAAGGGAGGGATAGATAGATAGATAGAGAGGGAGAGAGAGAGAGAGAGATCTCGCTTTTCCCCCGCGTGTGCCGCCGTGAATGAATCGATTCATACGCGCGATCGAGGCAGGGGAATTTTCTCGCGCGACGACCCGCTTCCTCGGGGCAGCTGCTCGTGATGAAAATAATTTGGCTCTCGACGAAGAGAGCCGTCGCGCGTGCATTCCATATATTCGCGTTATATTCGCGGAAGCTCCGATTTCCGCTCGCGATTAACGCTCGACACGTCGGGCGTGTTCGCCAAGAGAAGAGTCCTCGTGCTTTCTCAGTATCCCGGTGGTTTCCTCCCGTTCCGGGCTTCTCGCGCTTCCTCGTGAAACATCGATTTATCCGCGAATTTATCCTCGAATATCTATCCGCGGCCTCTCCGTGTAAAATGCAAAGTAAACGCGGGCGCTCCGGCGTCGCTTCGAGTGTACGGCGAGTATACGGCTCTTAGACATTTATCCTCAGCTACGTCACAACGTAGACAGATTTTTACTGTTTTTTTTCCTCCCGTGCGCTGCATCGCCCCACCTTCACCACCCCACCTTCTTCTTCTTCTTCGACACAAAAATAGTTCTGATGTATCTCCCTTGATCCTCCTTTTCCGCGCCGTGCTTACCACTTTTTTCTCTTTTTTTTTCTTATTTTTCTTTTTAACCAACACCAATTATATTCAACACGATTTACACTGAAACAGATCTGACGGATCTTTGGGATGAAGTTTGGTAGACGGAAGGATAGAGAGAGTGCGTGAAAGAGATAGAAAGAGAGGTAGAAAGAGAGAGAGTGAGAAAGGGAGGGAGGGGGAGGGAAGGAGAGGGAGAGAGTGAGAATCGACGATATACCGCAGGGATGGAATTCCTCCTCTTTCTCCTCCTCCTCTTCAATTTCCATTGACTCTTAAAGATTAGTGTGTGCAAGTCTTGATGGCATACGCGACGCATCGCCGCGGCTTTCACCTTCTTTCTCTTCATATTCTTCTTCATCCTCCTCTCCTTCGTCGGCGCCGGTTGCGTTTACGTCGCGGCGAATCGTTGTTTCTGCTTCTTCACAAAGTCGAGGGCCATTTTGTCGCCGATTCGGGTTTCCAGAATCTGAAGGATCGGGTGGTCTGCGAAAGACACGGTTGAAATCACCGGGCGGATCGAATATCCTCTTGGAGATTGCAATTTAAAATCACTCACTCCGATTTTTCTGGTGCATAAGCGGTAGTTCCTGATGCTTGAGGCCATGAAAATTGTCTATGCTAGCGTTCGTGTCGGCGACGCCGGGTATGGTGCTGAGTCCGAGGAAAGCCTCGCCGGCGAAGTCGTTGGCCGTGAGGACGTCGTGATCCATCACCGTGAAGAGGACCATCGCGTTGGGGTCACGGCATTGCTCCACGCTCACCGAGCTTGAAACGAAGAAAGCGTGTACACACGCATTAAAGATAAATATCTTTTCGATCCGCCTCGAGCATCCGATGTTCAATCACAGATAATGTTAGACACAGTGATGTGTTAGCTATAATATTAATAATAGATACGCTAATATGTGTGCACAATCCACGTTAAGATGAATATGTTAGGTTTGTTTGCAAATAAATTAACACCGGATTAAATTGCAAAAATATGTTTTTTTTAATGTCACATTTGCAGCGATCAAATGTGGCGAGGAGACGTACTCACAATTCGAAACACTCGTCAAACATAGGATTCAGAGTCCTCTTCTTGACGTTGGTCTGCTGCTCGGCGCAGTGCTCGAACACCCGACGCGGTAGCAATTCGATTATCACGAAGGGATCGCTGAAGCCGTTCGGGTCCAGCGGAATGACGTCTCTGGCGTTGATCACCTCGAGGCAGAGAGAATCGTGATTTAGATAAGCCCGCACGGTCAACACTCCGTATTCGTAGGTAACCGTGTTGAATTGATCCTGAAAAGCAAAGCGCAGGGACACTCCTCGGACAGTTATCCTCGAGACCGTGAGTTGAATTAATCGAACCGAGGAAAAATCGCGCTCAGTTCGCCGGTTAATTTCAGCGACGTCGAGCGCGTCAACGCACCATCAGGCGTTGCTGGTAGTATCGGTCGATCAGGAAGGTCGTGTCCATCTTATGATACTGAAGACGTTCCTCCGCGTTTACGAAACTCTGCCGACGCAGCACTTCCAGAGGCAAACCTCTGTCGTCGGCGTGGAAGAACTTCACCAACAGGTCGAGCGCCTCGTGCAGCCTCTCGTAGAACATCTTCGGCTTATCCTGCGAACGATAACGTTTCCCTGTCCACTTCCGTCGCGCAATCGTCTCTCGTAATTTCGATTATTCGCGCACTCGGAATAAAATAATAAATAAACAAATCAAATCAAATCGATCGAATCGAAATGAAGATTACAAAATTAGTCGCAACAAAACATCTTGGGAAAAGAAGATAATTTTTAAAACAAAATTATTTTTCCCCGTGTTTCATACGTATTTTTTTCTGCGGCTAATTTTACTGCATTACAGTTAACTGAGGCGAGTCTGCGATGAACCGAAACATTTTTTGCCAATTACAATTACAGTAAAATATAATTCATGAAATATCAAATCGTTACAATTAAACAACTCGGTTTCAGCTCTCGTAAACCAGGCAACGATGTTTTTCGTATGATTAATATTCATTGTGAAAGTCCAATTACCTCGGCGTTGCCGTCCATTTGGTTGCTCAATTCGCTGAGGACCACTTCCCAGATCTCGTGGAGGACGCGATTGAAGCTCGCGGGGAGCAGATCTCTGTTGAGTGCCACCAGGTGAGCGTCCAGGTATTCAATAAGAGGCGCGATCGCCTCTGTGGTCGGTAAGCTATCGGGCGACCAAGCCAAGTGGAACATCGCCTTCTTCAGAGGCGGTCTCATCTGTAAGCCGGAAAGAAGAGAATACTCGGTACGTTGCCGACGAAATTATCGGCTACTTTTGTCTCTCTCTCTCTCTCTCTCTCTCTCTCCCAGGGCATATATTGCGATATAAATCATATCATCGCGGCGATTTTTCCGGCTGATCATCAAAGGCTCTGATTGCTTCGTCATAACGGCAATTACACGTTCGAATTAACGAGCGGCCCAGAGAGAGAGAGAGAGAAAGAGAGAGAGAGACAAATTTCGAGACAAGAGAGTAAATTATTCTGACCCGGTGACCCGACGACCTTCCGAAAAGAGTAGCACAAGAGGTATCAACGCGACTGTTGAGAGAAATGAAATATCTGCGACAATGTTGCAAATTGCAAAACGAGAGAAATCGCGTTACCGCGAAGATTCAATATGAAACTCAGACAAGCAATCTTATACACATATTTCGCCTCTAAGTTCCGCGTGTCTGTCGTTTAACCTCGACCCGCGTACCTTCGCCCCAATTTTCGAGATTATCTGATTGATGTAGTGTAGCATCTGCGCGGGCGTCTGTTCCAGCGGCGTCAGCAGAGCGTTTCGCCACTGCATCCGCACGGAGTCGCCCGCTTGGGTCTCCAGAGCCGCCAGGATCTGCTCCACGCGCAACTCGTCCCCCAGGTCCAGCAGCCACCTTCTCACGTACTCGAGACCGTTGATAGTCACGCACATCTGAAAACGATTCGAGTCAAGCGCGATACTCCGGCCGAAATTTCGATGTTACATCGACGCATTAAAGATGGTTCGCGCGTACTTAGATTGCCTGCATATGCAGTATTATTTTGTGCCCACAGACTAACAAAAACTTACTTTGACGATACCGACATTCTTATCAACCTCTCTCACGAACCTTTCATTCCACAGATTTAATTTTAATGCTACCCCGAACAATTTATTTTACGCTAAAAACGAAAACGGAAATGTAAGACGTCATCGGGTCAAAGCAGGAGTGAATTATATGAACAAAATGGAAATTGAGTTAATTTTCCTATCTTAGCGCCCACTTGTACTTATGTTGTAGAATACAAGGTTTATGTAAGATTTATAGGGCCGAAATTTCGCCTCGGAAACGTTGTGATGAAAACGCGGTCTGTTGAATTTACATGTGAAAGTGAAACGGTTTAATCCATCCCCGAGAGCAACGTTTACCTCGTCTGTGGTCTTGTACGGTGAGTGGTCCTCGTAATATCCACTGTCCGCCAACCTCTGGTGCATCAGCTCGGCGAAGTACGACGCGGAACTGCAAATTGCCTGCGGCGGAATTGCGAATTTTCGTGTATCACGTTGGGTTGCATGATTGTAGTAAAGTTACCGACTATTTTCACCGAAGAGGCTCAAAATCCATGATCGAGACGTGTGACTTGTTTGCCCCGCCGACTCAACGAATTCCCACATTTATATCGCATCACCGATAATCTGCGTTCTTACTGGCCTTTTCACCGTATATCAACGGTTATCAACTATGTTAGGTACTCTATATTACACAATTGCGAAATGTCAGGTTCCTCCTCGACATCCTTCCGGCCGGGGGAGAAAACTATTATTACTTCCGAATATTTTCGCGTCACGCGCGCGCGGAAATGGTGAATCGAAAAACTTCTACTGGTAATTTCGTACGCGCAGTTTCCCCGGAGCGAATTTTCGCGATACATCACGACTGTCGGCGAGGGCGCTTAAAAGAACAACAATCTCGCTTGTTCACTTACATCGATGACTTTCAGCACGAAGTTATTAGAACCCAGCAGGTCCGGCCATGCCAGTTTCTTCCAGAACTCCTTGATCTATGATGTGCGCAAGATCGTAAGAAAATACATAATTAGAAGGATATTACCGTAATTTCCGCGGCACATAGAGGAAAAGCACCACGACCGTCATACCGTTTTACATGTCCGATAAATTACCGCCGATTTGTTGCTGAAAAATTTACCGGAGGAACTTCAGATCGGAAAGCGCAACGCTAACGCTAACGGCGTAATGAAATGCGTTTGGAAAGAGAAACCGCCGTTTCCGCTGCACACAGTGGGCGAAATTCGTGTACTGTTCGACGAAGTTCGACATTGTACAGCCAAGAAACACGCGGGTGTCGACTTTCCATATCTCTGTCAGTTTTAGTGCTTTCCCTTCTATTAATTATCGTTATCGCGGTTATTCGTGTCGCGCGACGGCCAGCTCAGAGGATAAAGGGGGGGGGGGGGGGTAAGGGGGAACTATCGGTGCTGAAGTTACCTGATAAAAGCACACGGTGACGTCGTTCGCGGACGTGCCGTGCTTGACGATGTAGTTGTACGACGACGCGGGATCCCCGGTGCAGATCCGATCGAGCTCCTCCGCCCGTCGCACTCTCTGTACCGCCTTGAGCTTCGCCAGATCCAGCCATTTGTCGACAGCCGGTCTGAACCACTCGTAATACTTGCAGATCGCCAAAGTTTTGTGATCCGATTGCGGCAGATTCTCCTTCATGCTAAAAGCGACGAGTTTAATGTGGGACCGCGACACCGCGACTCCCCGACGATGAAATTCGCCGGGAATCTGACGCGTCGGGGATTTTATCGCGCGCGGTCGCGCCCTGCGCGGCGTGCGAGAAAAGAAGAAAAAGAAATGTCTACCGCTCGCGAGGGCGTTTACCGGCGAAATTGATCGCCTTCCGCGCGCTGATAAGAACGAAGTTAACCATAACATGAGATTTACTTCACGAAGTCCTGAAGCGCCAAGTAAAGCTCGAATATCGGCGTTCCTATCTCCGCGCCCGGCGGCAGGACGTATTCCTCGTCCCTGTCCTGACCGTGCAGCTGCAGACAGGCGGTGGTGACTCTCGCACCGAGCTCGTTGTGCATCTGCGAAAACGATCGTTCCAGATTACGAAGGATTGCCGTCGACCGATGGACCAGTCGGATGCACAAGCGGACAAAATGTTACTTCCTGTACACGTCAGCGTTATCGTACTTCGTGATAATATGTATTCTTGATTCTAAACGTTCCATCAGAATTTCTCGGGGGATCTTTGATCGGCTCGATCAGCTAATGAGCGGAGAGTCGTCGTAATTCAAATGAAATATTGATTTTTCTTTAAGAGGAACGGGGACATAGACGAAGTCTCGAGGATGAAAGCCGTGTCTCCTTCGAGAAGAAGACGCGCAAATTAGTCGCACGCAGAATCCAACGGTTCGGATAAGATTTTTCCAGCCAGAGTCGCGGATGTTTGATCGGCAAAACCGGTCGGAAAAATAGTCCACCCGAATGTTGAAATAATTAATACCTTCGTCAGGTGGAAAAGCAATCGCTCATCGTTTCGTTACCGTTAATTTCCATACCCGACGCTTCCACGATTATCGAATCATGTAGAAATTCAACAGCGAGTGTTCCTGATACCTCCCGCAATTTCCCGAAATTATCGGTGCGCGCCACCGTAATGTTCCTTTGACGATCGTGAGATTTTTATACCACACTTTCACACAAGATAAATCACGAATACTCAGACCTGATTATTTCCAAGTGACGGCAGAGAACCTTGTCTCTCGGCTGGTGCATTCTTCGCTTCGTAAGAGGTACCGGTTCGCTTTGCCGTAGCGCGCGTGAAAGCTGATTTTACGCGCCACTGTGAGCGCATATTCCGGTAACGGCAGCGTTTGTCGCGCAGCTCGTTGGATCATGCACGCCTAGTTTGAACGCCACGGTTCGAAAACTCGAGCGGCTTTGCGCCTCGCTCCTCCCACGGAATTTGCACGGCGAGTCATTAAAGTTCAATCCCGCGTGTTCGCATTAAATCGTCGTGTGATGCGCACGGGATCGCGCTCCACGTTGGGCGATTTCGAGAGAGAGTTAGAGAGAGAGAGAAAGAGAGAAGCAGAGAAAGAAAGAAGAAGAGAGACAGATAGACAGACAGAGATAGAGCTGTCGGATGTCAGAGCCAGCGATGCGGTTATCAGAAATAAACGGGAGTTGCGCACAGCCGGCGGTCGACATTGCGAAACTTGCTGCGAGCATCCCTCCACGGCGAACTACCGGGGAAGCTAGCCGAGTGAGATACGCACCGGATGCTCGAAAAGTTTCGAGTATCTCCGCATTGTGTCGCCGGTGCACGAACAATCCCAACCCGGCGTTGTTGTCACGATCAACTTCCGGTCACGCAAACGCGCTCCGCCGACGGAACGACCCCGCGTGAGCGGAAATACGCGAGATCGTGTCGGGGACACACGCGCGAATCTACGCTCGATTTCTGAGATCGATTCCGCTCGGACTCGAGCAGCGAGAGAATTTCATCCCACGCGCCGCACGAGCGAACGCTCGTCGAATCGATAGGAATCGCACGTCGATCAAGCTGGCCGCTGGAAATTTTCCCCGGCGAGGGAGGAATTAGCTTACCATCCCCCTCCCCTTCTTCCACGTTGCGAAACTTTCGCGGGGGAGTTCGGGTTTTATGAGTTCTACGGAAGAAATTTAATCAGAGCTCTCTCGCGAGAGGCCCGTCGGAATCGCGGGGGCATTCCTGCGAGTGCAAAAAATGTAAATCGCGCGTCTTTGATGTTACCCCCGCGAGAAAGGTGGATCTGTTTAATGAGAGAACCCGGTTTTTGTAAAAAGGTCCTCTTTATGAAAAGTTCCCTCCGGTAGAGAGGACTGAATGTCTAATGTTCGGAACGCAGGGATCGATGGTGGAATCGTCGAATGCTCTTTTACTTCTCTCCGTTTACCCCTTCCGTTCCGTTCCCTTTTGAATCCTTACAAGAAATAATCAGGGCGGACGAGTGTCTCTCATTTATAATTACAGGATGTTTTACAATCATAGATGGAGGGTTAGTTCGTTAAGAAAATCGAACAGAGGAAAGGAGGAAGAGAAATCTTCATAGAAGTTCGAAGATCTTTGGATGCTCAAACTTGGAACCAAATAATAACTTTGAATTAAAACTAAAATTTCATACTTAACGTACAAATTAAGAAGTTCGAAAACAATTGGTTCGCAGACTTATTTTCACTACAACCGTTTCTGTACGAATTTGTGAGTTTTGTCAGCCGGTTAAGCCTTTACCTATAATTCTCAAACATCTTGTATATTAAAATGAATATTCCTGTCTCTATTCCAAGATAGGCATTTAGCTACATCGGTAAACGACACCAGTACGCTTAGCATCGAAAACGACAGAACAGGAAAACCTAAAAACCCTTTAATCAATATTTCTTTGCAGTTTATTTTAAATCATCTACCTTATGCTGTGTGGCGTGCAGGTCGAAGTGTGTTTCTCATAAACGCACGATTATACGCAATGCTGGAAGACGCGTTACAAAACACGACGAATACGTATGCGAGTGGATCAATGATCTCATCATATTGTTGAAATCTGACACAACCAATTTGTCATAAAAAAGAAAGATACTAAATATTTGACAACCCGTGAGAGTTAATAAAACCCCTTCAATTTTTCGAACGCTCATTAACTCGTAAGTCCGTTAGCAAATTTCTCTCCCCCCATCGAGAGTTCTCCTCTATCGAAGCCATTCCGTTCTGAATCAAGGAGATCTGAACTCTTCGGTCTCCGAACGAAGCCTCCTTCAGGACTTCTGTTCGCGCCTTTCGTTAAGCTCGCTCGCTTCCCGCGAGTTTCCCGAGCGTCGCTCATTGTTTTCGGGCGTGCAATCGCGCGGGAACGGGGGCTTTAATCGCACTTAATAAGGAATACACCTGTACCTGCGCGCGCACCGCTAGCTAAAAGGTAAGTGCACAAAGGCGAGTGGTGCGTCATTTGCTGAACTGGCGAGCGCATGCAATCGGTACGCGTCAAGTGCACAGCTGTGTCCCACTAACGATCCGGACGGGCGCATGCAACGTGCGATAGTTTTTACTCACGAGAAGTAGTGTCGCGCGGAGGAGACGTGCACCGACGGGGTGGAAAGTAACTACTACTATTACTACCAGTACAACTATCATTGCTACTACTACTACTACCGCTACTTCTATTGTTATCGCGAGGCAGTAGTGTGCGTTTACGTTTTATCCGCGCCGTAACGCGCGAGAGAACTCGACGTTGACTCGCGCACAATGAGCGGCGCAACGAGACAGAGAGCTAGAAAGAGAGAGGAAGAGAGAGAGAGAGAGAGAGAGAGAGAGAAAGAGGCGAAGCGATAACGCAATTACCGGACGGCACGACGACATTGTGCCGGAATACGCGTGTTTTTCTCACAACCGTCAGGACGAAATCGTGCACGACGAACCGTCTGAGCGAGCGAGACGTCAGACGGGATATGCATTTTTAACATTGCAACACGCGCGAGGTAAATATACGCGGTGTCGACCGCTCGATCCGCTCCGGCACACTAATGCTCGCTTGGCGCTGCCTGCGAGTATACTTTCTTTCTGTTGATTCGTATGTTGATAGTATGCGTCCCCCTGCGTCAAAGAATCGTATCTATATATAGACGTGAGAGTCCGTCGGGCTTTTCTGTCACGATATAGGAAGCGTCGCGATCGAAACGACGGACTGCTCGAAAGCAACGTGTGCGTCGACGGTATACATACAATCAAATTGCACTCAGCGATCACTAGCTCGACGACGTCTGTTTAGCTGCGTACTCGCGCAGCTTCCTGCGCGCCTTCGGCGCGGTTTGTCGCGCGCACATTATCATCGTGGTGTCAATCTCGGCACGAGTGGTAACTTGATTCGCGATTTGCCAAGTATGCAGGTAAAAATGCGACGCATACGACAATCTCGGCAATTTTACATTATACGGGGAAATCGAAGTAGGAAACAAAGAAAGAGAGAACAAAGGAAGTCAGAGAGAGAGAGAGAGAGAGAAAGTTAGTGAGTGATAGAGAAAAGGTTTAATAATAGAGAGAGGCAAGAATAGAGAGGAAGGGAGAGAGAGAGAGAGAAAGAAAGAGAGAGAGTTTAATATCTTGTGGTGGCGTTTGAAAAAGTACCTCGGAAGTGTTCTCCATGTGTTTCGCCACGTGTTCCGCCAGCTATGGACAAACATCTCGTGTACAGTAAAATCGCGCTGACCTGATGGACATTCGTAATTCTCGTCGTCACGCCTTTTCTCAACCTGGCCTTCAGGTCACTGCGACTCGTTTATTTACAGGGTGTCCGGCGAAACGGTTAAAGCAATTTTGCAGCTATCTACGACAACTCGTGATTTCCTTCCATCACGTCTTTCCTGCGCAAATCGTACTTTTAGTTTCTCTTTCTTTCTTTTTTCTTTCTTTATGACACGGTAGATAACCGTGATTAATGTACATGATAAATATATTTGGGACACCTTATATATAAACTGTATAATATGTATTGTTATTTCGATGCAAAGACGTCGATCGGACTCGTTCAAGTCAGCGGTTCTGATATTTTCTCGAATCGAACGACAGGATCGGACGTGGATATTCGGTCGAATTTGGACTTCTTCGAGACGCATCTCGGTTAATGTTCTCGCGCTTCGATCCGTGCGGCTTCGGCTCTCAGGAATAGTTGAAATGATTTTTGGTCTTGGATCTCTCTGCTCTTGCAGACACGATCGACGTTTCGAATAAAGCGTTTAAGCCAAACATAGCACATCCAGCTTGACGACACAGTGAATAAAAAATAATGATGTGTTATGTGACAGTGTGTCTTTGACGCGACATTTCGTTGCCAGATATATATATCACAAGTGAAAACCTATTTATATATATGTATATATATATATGTATATATGAGTATCACTTATATTGTCCACGTTCACGAAGAACGTTTCTTTTTTCACTTGCATCCTTACCAGCTTCTCCAGTTGTTTGTAAACTGCCGAGAAATATGGCACACCATTCGTGCTGAAACACACAGATTTAACGTCCTGTGATCCTGCAAACTGCTTACCACCCAAATAATGGCGTGTTTATCGAACTAAATTAGTGCGCGAACTTCAAGCATTGTTCGTATTAAATTTCGATACACTATACATTACATGGCATAATTGCAAGATTAAGTGAATTTATTCTATTAAAAAGAAAATAAGTAAATTATGAAATAATTTACAAATAAATTACAAATTCTTGTATCTTTTGTTTTTTAAAAGAACGCTAAAAAGTAAAAATTCACAAGTTATAAATTTTTACAAATAATTTCGCAAAGAGAAAAAATAGAAAATTGAGTCCTATGTTTCGCTCGCGAAACATATTTCGCGATCAATATAACAAAACTGTAGATGAAAAAGGACACAAAATAAAGACTGGAATGATAAAAGAGGGAATAGAGTAACCGTCCGCGTCTCTTTCAATGGAAAATTCTTCCCGGAACTCTCTTATTTTTTGAAATGCGCTCCACATCCCAATTTAAATTTGTAAGTCGCCTTTTGACAGAAACTTACCTTTCAAAGAGACTGTTATAACATTCAAGTCCCTGCTCGAGATCGACCAATAACGCGGTTACCAAGTTCGTGAAATCTTGTAGGACACGGTCGGCGTCCTGATCGGGTTCCTGATCGTGGCACATCGTCTGTTGCCTGGTGTCCTCGTACCTGTGAAATTAAAATTGAATTAAATTTTTTACCGTGTGGCTATACTCGTTTCTCCGCGGAGTTCCAACGAAGTTTCAGCGACAATATTTTGCGCATGTACGCGTGAGATTAAGTAGACGCTTTTATTTTGCGAAAATTAATTTACCATTCAAGAGTTCCCTTCCTGAGAGCAGTAATGATCTCTCCTCGGATTTCCTTGTTGAAGGGACAACAAGTTCGGAAAGCCTTCATGTTCGAGAGAAGTCCCAGGCATCTGGAAAACGAGCACGACAGCAGTTCTTCGTATTATTTTACGTACCAATTATACCGTTTGAATTTCTAGACGTTTTCTTATACACCTAACTTCCTCAAGGATCGTTGAGAGACGGAGATTCTTCTTCCTTCGTAGTATTACAGTGAAAGTATTATAGGTTGGCGCAAGAGATGTGTCGTCATTCTATTAGATTCTCGCAGGAAGTTTGAGCATCGAAAGAAAAATAGAACGGAGTAGAGTTTTATTTGTGCTCTGGGGTTACAACCCCTCGGGCTTCTCTATACATTATTATGGCAGATTAGTAGTTTTACAAAATCACGAAAAAAAGAAAAACTAGGGAAACAAGTATTATGTAAGAGCAAGTCATTAAAACGTTATAAAATATTTTAATATTACAAAAAAATAAATATTGCACTAAACAAAAATACCGAGTCGGTATTGTCCATTTAAAAAATGACTAACCCTTCGAAATGAGTTCGTTTGCACCAAACTAACATGAGCTCACCTGAGCAGGTATTCCAGTTTCACCAACGTCGCCTCATGTTGAGGCGGATACAATACTCGGTGTTGCCTGACCTTCTTCAGGGACACCTCCAAGAAATCGTTGAAGGAGTCCGCCAGGCATTGCTCTGCGTCGCGCGATAAGGTCTCCGTGTGCCATCGGTTGTTGAGCTCCTAGGTTCGCGCGGAGGCAATTAGAATTCGCGGTTGTTACTCTCGAGTTACGTACACAGTTCGCGAGTTAGCTTCGATATTCGCGGCACGGCGAGTCGGTCATCTGTGTATGCGCAACGTTCGTTACCTGGAGCAGCCGAAGAAGCGTACGGGGGTCCACGGCGGGCTGTCGGGAACTCGCCACCCACCTTATTAAAGCCTGCTGCAACTCGGTTACGTCACCTTGCACCGCGTGCTGGTGCAGGATCGTCAGAGCGGTTTGCGGCAGTTCCCCGGTGAAGTCTGCCTGGAGAACACGTATAAATCAATCAGGTATAAAAGACGCGTCCTGCCGTTCGTGGATAAATAGATAGATAGAAGCGTTTATTGAACATTCAAAATCTTCTATAAACGAGATACAATTGTTGAGCGTTATCCCACACAGAGAAAAATATCATTCCACTGCTGAGAAAAGCGATTGCAGAGTTTCTTTCTTTTTTTTTTTAAGTAATGGTTATCTTCAATAAAAAATATTTTTTTTTATGTGAAACAGTTTTAAAATATAGCCATCAGAAATTTTAGGAAAGCTTACGATCACGCACATAAGAGACAAATTTATTCTCATTTCAAGAATATTATGAACTTTATCGGAGAAAAGGTAAATTCGGTTAATTTGAATAAACCGAAGAACGAACTTCGGCTTGTTTTAATATTTATTAGTATTTAATATTCTTGATTGAAGTGCTAAACTTACTAGGATTCGGAATATATTTTGAATTAATTTAATACTTATAATTGAACTCGTGATATATCCGCGGATATAATTTTATGAAATATTACTTGAAACAGGTAATATTAATTTAAACGCAGTATGTATTTTTCCATGTGCATTTATTAGATTAAATTTATATTTTACAATTATGCAAATTTTCTTTTATACTGACGCTACGATAAATTTACGAAAAGTTACTTTCAGACTCCCACGTGAAATTTTACGCATGTTGCGCTTCTGTAAATTCTGATTTCTTCTTTCGTATTTCTACCCCGTCTTTCCAGGTAATGAATATTTGTGTACATGAGTATCATATGAAGCGCTCATAGGGGACATAAACTTCACACATCGCGTGATAACGTGAGCGGAGGTACCGTCAAATTTACGTCAGGATTTACATCTATCTGGGTTATCTTTGAAATTAATAAGTAAGATTACAACGTGACGGGGGAAAAATCACGCGGGGATAAGGGAACCACTTTGCGCGCGGGAACGCACGTTCTCGCGCTTGTTTATTCCATTCTTATTGCCTCCTATCTTCCGTGCAACCAGCTGAGACATTATGATAATATGCACACGCGGGCCGATTTATAACGGCGATGATTCCACGTTGCACGTCCAACAACGTAGGTGCACGGTATTGCCGGAGGCCGAGGATAAAATATGACCTTGTTATATGGAATACGTGATATAAACATTTTACGCGCGGCGACAGCGCGCGCGCACGAGTATATCCGCGTTATACGGTTATACGTACCTCTTGTTTGTTCATCTCGTGATTAAGGAAAACTGTGTACAGCCTTTCCTGTTGCCTCAGTTCGTCCCAATTATCCTCCTCGGACGTTCCCCGGTCCTCTCGCGTCGACAGCCATAATTTCAGTCTGATTCTGCCTTGGATGTTGCTCCTTTGCGTCCGCGCCTCAAGTTTGTACCATTGGTCGAGCCCGGTGCTCGGAATATCCTGCACAAAAAACTCGCGCGTGTTCACATACGTGCCCGAGGCACAATTTTCATTTCGAGACTCATTAGAATGTTATCTGAGATACGTGATAGAAATGTGAGAGCTCGCGGGAAATGATTTCAGAGTAATAATCGTCGGTGGCTCCAGTTCATTTCGAGATAACCGATTTGGCGAATTTAATTCGTTATTTTCAATCTGCTCCTTTCTCCCGTTCCACGTATTGTTCTTTCGCAAATATGCTTTTTACTACTTTATATGTTTCCTATTAAAACGTAAAGATTTAATGGTACGGTTTAAGTAAGACGAAGGTGAGATTAATGAGATAATTACTTGCAAGGGAATGTTCACGCAACCCAAGAAATCGTCCTGGCTGCCAGATCTAGCGCTCTGCGCGATCTGCTTGAAGAATCGCCCCAGCCCTTTCACACCTCGCACTTCGTTGAGTTTAATTACCGCGTCGAACACCGAGGACTCGTCGTCGTGGTCCCTGGAATCATTGTCGCGGATCTAAGGCCTCGCTCGATCGAGAGCTTGAATTTTCGATACGATTCGTAGGAGAATAAGTGTCAAGATTATGTATGCCAGTCGTGCGTAATCATATCGCAATCAATATCAGAGCAAATAGCCACGAACTCCCGGTAATGTCTTGTCGGTGAATTAGTCCATCGACTCGGACGAATAAGTTCTTTAAAGCAAGTTTCTCGCAACTTCCGAAACATAGTAAGATTCGGACTTTTACAGTGTCCTACTTTTGAGAAAGAAATGCCCGGCCGAACTCACCATATATCCAGATGGAGATTGTCCGTGCTGACGTCGTCGATGTCGCTGAAAGAGGAATCGGAACGGACGGTTACGGTGTGTGTACACCGAATTAAGCGCTACTTTAGACTAATAAGAGAATCGCCATTGCGCGCCAATTTACGAGGGGATCGGGCCCCAAAGTTTTCGCTTACAAACGGAACTTCTCGTTCCATCGCGGACTCAGCGTGTGCGGCTTCACCGTGGTGGCTCGTATAAACTTCGCGGGTAGAGCACTGCTCAAGGACTCGCGGTGTTCCCGCCTGCTGCTGTGCTCCTTGCGCTTAAACGAGAGCCTGAAACTGATTTCGAACGGGAACAGTTTACTAACCGGCAACATCTCCTAATCTCCAAATCTCGCTCCCCTCTCATCGCGCTTGTTTCCGGCGCCGTTTCGCATTTTTTCTCGCACGCCCGTCGTCCCGGACGGCCGACTTACCTACTCCGTCGTCGCGGACGGAAACGCCTAGCGATCGATTTTTTTCGCCGGTTAACTAAAACCACGAAGAAGGGAAAGCGAGGCAGATTTACGAGTGTCATACTTAAAAAAAAATCTGACACTTATAAATAATATTCAACGTTAAAATATATATCCCTCTCTCTTCTAATTCGCGAACCGTCGAACGCTTTCTTCAGGAAGCAGCAACTGCGCTGCCAGCGTAAGCCCTTTTCCACGGTAACGAGTTTTCAACTACGTCGCAATTATATTCTGCCGCTGCGACTGTTCCCCTCTTAATTAGGTATTCGGGAGTGCACGTATACGACACGCTCGCGATTAATTCCCGAAATTGGAATTTTGATGCTAATTGGCAAACTGTGTTGTCCCCGTTCTCGTCGTCGTCGTCATCGGTAAGGAAGCAGTCGTATAGAGTCTCAAGTTTTCCTCACAAGGCTTCCAGCTCCTCTATGCCAAGATGCAGCATGATGCCGTCGCTTGTCGCCGGTATCCCGATGGGATTTCGCGCGGATTCGACGAGGACGCGCGGCGGCGATTCGAGGCGCGGCCACGTCTCGCTGCGGCACAGCCCGCGATGCACTGTTCCGCTCTCGTTGCCGTCGCATTAATCACTTTACTTATACCGCCAGGTGGCGAGCTAAACAATGCGGGGAAGATACACGGCAAAATGGGCTTTGCTCTCAATGTTCGCCCCCCCCCCC